CCGCGCGCGTGTACGCCGCCGGTTCATCGCCGATGTGGAAATGGCTAACTACGGCCCCCTGAAACGTCGCGAGCGAGCACGTCGCGCGGCAGCTAGCCAGCCTCTCCAATAAAACGTACGATGCAATTTCGTTGCGTCGAAGAGGAGCCGGAGTGGTGCGTCGCGCGTCTCGAGACGCGCTACTTTAACGCTGCTCGTATAACATTATCACGCGCCGCGTGCGCTCAAGGCACCAAGGTGATATCTCACCCACGCCCTTCTGCCCGACCTCCCTCCACGTGGGGTATGAATCTATCTTTCATCTGTAATTATAATCGCGATGCGCCTGGTGTTATCGCGGATCCGCGTCGTGTGTCGCGATAAGCGTCGGGGATACCGAGGCGAACGCCCTCCCTCAACCCCGGGAGAGAAACTAGATTCGGGAACAACTAGGCGCGAGCATCCCGGGAATTCCGCCGCGGCTGTCTCCACGTCACCCCCTCTTGCTGTTCCCGCGACCGCCAGGGAATGTCCGCGACACCGAGGAGATCTTATCGCGGCGGGAGCTTCCAAAGTGATTACGCGGCAGAACCGCCAATTATACAATCGCGATTTATAACCGCCACTGATAAGGCGGAATGTTTGTCCTCGGTCGTTCTCGCGACATTAAAGTCCCCCGTGAACGAAGGGGGTCGACTTGGGGAGAATTTTTCCCGGAAACCTCCTCTTCCACGCGACGTATCAAAGAGAAATTGCGAGAAATTGCAGGAACCGATGTTGGAGAGAAACGTACAGCCAAAAAATATTATTTCATCCGCGGTGCAATTCTCTTATATATGGCCTCGAGGGAATTCTCGTCAAACCGACAGGGAAATATTCCAAGTACAATATCATTCCTTTCTATTAGAGGAGAGGTATTCTTTCGGCAAAAGTTTTCGCTTAGAGTATGAGATTACAGGAAATATCATCTTGCAACTAGAATTCTTTTTTCGAAGTGTTTCCCTGATGATTTCAGGAGAATTCTTTTGAGGCCATATCAGAACACAGGAGGATTCCGCTGAGGATGAGACTACATCTCCTCGAGTGTACAATGAAGAAGTACTCGCAGATTTCGATCAAACTATGAGTGTTTGCCGTCCTACGCGATCGGAATTGATTTACCGTGACAAAATCGAAGATAACACACTAATTTTTCTCTTTGCACTTGCCCAGAGCTTACTTGTGATTTAGTAGATATTTGGAGCGTCGAACAATTGCTTAGTGCCTCACTAATCCTCAGCAAACGCATCTACGTTCCAGCTATTTACTCTCGCGTTTGATTCGAGAAGCTGCAAAATCAGCAACGGTAATAGAAATGTTTGACATAATAGTCTGCTCCTTAGACGGTTTCGCGCGCCGCGGAATGAACGAACGAACGGGCGTGTTTTCCGGATGACGGGGCAAATTTCGGCCAGGTAGCCTTGTAGACAATATGGCGGTCGAATCACGCGGCCCTGAAAAATTAACCGGGGTGTCGTCGTACCCCTTTTGCGAGAGCGGGCTGGCGGGCGAGCGCGCGCAGCGCCTTGCTCTAATACAGATTTATTGCCACCTAAGAGCCGGAGCCAGGCGTTCTAATACAGGTATTATGCTGACGCAGGCAGGAGGAATTTACACGAAATTGGAGGTAATTTGTAGGGGTCGAGCGCGCCCCCTTCTACACCCGCCGTCGTGGTCGCCGACCCCCGGTCGAGCCCACCCTTCTCTCTCGCCCACCCATGCTTTCGGCCCCACATCCTGTATCCACCATTAACATTGTGTGCCGGACTTGTGCGCGGCCGTGTGTATCCCGAAACTCTCCGGTAACGACTTGCTCGAAGGACGTAACTCTCTCTCTCTCTCTCTCTCTCTCTCTCTCTCACTCTCACTCTCCCGTGTCGCCCTCCCTTCGACCGCTCTGCCGGCGGCAAGGGTTATCTACCGCGAAATATGCGGCCGCGTAGGCCGCTTTTTGATTTACGGAGTAGATCGTTAATTAAAACGTCACGGCTGATCGGCTGTGTGAGCGGGTGCGCTCTCTCACTCTCGCGCGTTCGGCGGTTTAATTAAAATTTTTTAATTGCCAAGCGCGGCCTACGATAGACCGGAGTGATCCCTCGCCACGATGGTCTTCGGAAAAAATGTCTTCCTTTTTTCCCCTGTCTATCTCTTTGTCTCTCTTTCTCTTTATCCATCCAGTTGTTCTCTTTCTTCCTATCTATCTCCTTTTGCCCTTTCCGATCACATCGACATCGTTTTTGACGGTGACGACCCAACGAGAGTATCGAAACACGAAACTGGTTATTATTGGAGATCGCGTCACGGTTTTCGGTGGATCACAAAGAGGACTTACCGCGCAAATTGTCGCGTATCGTTGACGAGATCGATTCACCGAACTCGCGTGCACGACATTCTCGCAGGTCGCGGCCTATAATACAGGGGTACCGAATACGGGATGATTATCAATGACGAGAGCGCAAAGATACTCACGCCAAGTGGGAAAGAGCGACCTTCATTTGAAAAAGAGCAATAAAAAATAATTAAGGAAAAGAATGGTTAAGTATGGTTAACGAAAAGTATGGTTAAGGAGAAGGATGGTTAAAGAAAAAGATGGTTAAGGTTCGGTTTGGTTAAGGAAAAGAATGGTTAAGGGTGAAATATTGCAGTTTTCCAGTATTTATTCATTACTGTTGCCTAGTAACTAGCCGGTATTTTTCTGTCTAGTTTCTGAAGAGGTATTGTCTAATAATAAACTGTTCTAGTAAAACCTGCTAAGTTCAAATAAAGCCTGGCTAGTAAGCAGTTCTCGCTGGAAATGTTTCTACTTAGGCCGCGGATGACGATTCCATCTTGGCTTCGTCGACACAGATCGATCTTTGTCTCTTCGACTTGGATATGCCTCTTACGCGTATTGTATCGTGTGCTGATTTTATTTCTGCGTCGCGAATCTCTGTGTGGCAACGCGCCTTGTGTTGCACGCCACTCATAATTACTCCGTTGCTTTCAAGCGTGTCATTTATCATGTGCCCCCTCTTTCTCTTTCTTGAAAAAAAGAGCAAGACGCAGAAATACGAGAGGAGAAATTTTATGATTATAATAATCACCGTTGATAAATATGATATGTGCGCGATTCGCGACGAGTTCGCCACTGCGAATATCCCGTCGCCACGCCGGCAGAAGCCGAGTAGAAATGCAAAATCTACTCATAAGTGTCGAATTGGGCCTTCAAGAGGAACTGCTATCTTTACGTTTAATCTCGACGACGATACTTCGACACTCGCGTCTGATCTTCACTTTTAATTTCAAAAAGCGAGATATTGGTTATATGTAACTCAATTGCAAATCAATCATGCGCAATAAGCAAATATTGATCTAATAAAGATCGATGAGTAAGCACAATAAATTTATTATTTCCTACTGACGTTGGAAATTTCGATAGGATTGGAAAACTGTTGGGGTGAAAGAGAGGAGGCGAAAAAGGAAAAGAAATTCAGGAGCAAAGAGGAGCGGAATTTCTGGGACAAAAAACGGTAAATAGGAGATTTATTGTTTGATTGCGCTTGCTCATTGCGCACAATTTATTTCCAGTTAAATTACGTAACCGATACCGCGCGCGCGCGCTGGCGCGAAATTAAAAATGAAGATGAAACGCAGGCGGAGTGCGTGTCGGGAGATATTGTTGTGCTGAAATTAAAAAATAAAGATTGAATGCAGCCGCGGAACGTCGAAATAATTGAATATTAAATAATACCGGGGTACATCAAAAACAGAGGAACAATAGCCGGAGTACGGTGTTTTATCTCGAAACCCACTATTGTTCCTTCAATTTCGGCGAATTCGCACGGGTGCGTCCCCGTGGCACGCGCAACCAAAACTTATTCCAGCCGCGAACTGCCCCCGCGGGCCGCACAATGCGCGCGTTTCTCCCCCGCGAATATTAATTCGCCACTCGCGCCGTTTGCGTACAGGGGCAAACGGACGGATCCCTAACGTGTCTCCCTCCTCCGTGTGCGATCGCGATGAATTCGCGTGCCACCCGATAAGAGGGAGCTTTATACGAGAGCGTGCCTCCGCGCGCGCGTGTTATTTAAAATTTTAATACACCTTTAAGGCGCGAGAACGCGCGCCGCGCTGGCTGGCGATTTTAATCTCGGCGTTGTAATAAGAAATAAAGCGAGGCCACGTAGAACGCGCGGCGGCGGAGGACCGAGGAGGGGGGGAGAGGTGGGGGAGGGTCCACCCCGCGCTAATACCATCCGCGCGAGACATTCCTCCGTGTCACGCGATTTACATTGCGAGGCCGGGGAATTTCGATACCGCGGTGTGACGCGAATCGCAATTACCTAATTTCATTCTAACGGGCTCCGAGACGCGCGCCGCGTGATGTGATGTGATGTGATGTTACGTGACGCGACGTGACGTTCACTTGGGAGTCGACGTAAAGTGTCATTTTATAATTAACGAAAAGAGCAACGCGAGCGTATGTTAAATCGTGTCGCGGCGGCCACGACGGCGTGTCCTACATATTTCCCGGAGAGGTCTGTCCTGGAACTCCAAATTCAATGAAAATGCTGCCAGTCGCTCTTTCAACGTACGCACGCGCGCGCGCGCGTGCGTGTGTGTGTGTGTGTAGTAATAACAACGGTAACGCGTCACGATGAAAAAATACGCGAAATATACGAGAAACTCGATGTCGCGTTTGGGCAGATTGATAAAGGTTTTAAAAACGTATCGCGTAATTGATTCGGTTTTTTTAGACCTCGAAATTGTGAATTTTCGACTGGTGGGGTGGAGGCGTTCAAGCGAGCTCGCGCTGAGACCTCGCGTTCTCGTAGGCGACGAGAAAGTGGCGTTAGACGACGACAACGACGACGACGTCCGGGTCGGGGACGCTCGCTCAAGTCGGAAATTCGTTTCCCGGAGATATACCGAGATGGCTGAGCCTCTGTCGCCGCCGCCGCGCTCGACGATATAACAGTCTGACGATACGATTGTTCTCCTACCTGGCATGCTTCGGTCCGAGGCTGGGATCGTACATAGAACTCGCCGTGATGTCCTCATCGGGGATTTCTCCGGTCTCCATGCCCAACGCCGCGGTGCATTGTCCTGGAAACAATTCGCGCGATGGCGTTAGGCAAAATTCAATATCAATCTTCATTTCGTTAACGTGCTCGCGGAACGTCGGCACGAAGATTCCCGGGGATGGTGATAGAGAGATAGGTAGAGGAAGACAGAGAGATAGAGATATGGTGAGAGGAAGGAAGAGAGAGACAATCGGCGACAATAACGGGAGATTATTCTGAGGCGAAGACGTCACGACTTTACCCGAGCGGATCGACGAGCGCTAATTAATTCGCCGTGGTCGCATTTTCGCGTACTTCCGCCTTCGATCGCGAATTCTCGCGAATCCGTCTCGCGATTTCGTTAACGACGCGCTGATGTCACTTGAAGAAAAAGAAAATAAATCCCCTTAAAAAATCCAAAATGCTCTAAGAAGTGTGAAGATAATTTTGAGTCAACCTAGACAACACAAACCTTTCAAGGAACGTCTTAAGGACGCCTTGGAGACGTTCTGAGAACATAAGACGATGTCCTCAGGACATCCATAAGACGTCCCTTGAAGGTATGTGTATATCAAATAAGGCGAGCAGAATATCTTGAATACATAAAAAAATTCACGCGCACATGATTATTAATGAAGACCAGCAAAAGAGAAGTTGCATTTTCCATTGTTAAATAACTTGTAATCTACTGTAGGATTTGGATCCTACAGGTCTCAGAGATTTTCTGTGCAAAATTGAGTGATTTTTTATTCTTTTTTGTAAGGTTAAAAATAAAAGTTTTGTCTCGTATCTCTAGATGTTTTGGGGATTTACAAAAAAGTGGCATTACCCAATTTCCAGGTCACGCGGGTAAAAATCAGGGTAATAACACTAATCTAAGAACCATATAAAAACACTTGTGTGAACTTGGCACACCATATATAAAAATGTGACATTTTTTTTAGAGTTCTGATACTCTCTTGAAAAGTTCTAGAGCTCTATGCAACAATTTTAAATAGTTCCGGTCATTAAATACAAAAAAATAGACTTTCAAAAAAAGGTGCGCTAAGTTCACGCAGCGCACCTAATCAGTAAAATTAACTATTTCTTTAGAGCTCCGGTTTGTTTTACAATAGTGTTCTAGAGTTCTATATCATATATAACAATAGTTCTAAAGAAATAGTTGATTTTACTGATTAGGTGTGCTGCGAGAACTTAGCGCACCTTTCTTTAAAAGTCTATTTTTTTGTATTTAATGACCGGAACCATATAAAATTGTTGCATAGAGCTCTAGCACTTTTCAAGAGAGTATCAGAACTCTAAAAAAATTGTCACATTTTTCAATAAGGTGTGCCAAGTCTGTGTGAACTTGGCACACCATATTCAAAAATGTGACATTTTTTTTAGAGTTCTGATACTCTCTTGAAAAGTTCTAGAGCTCTATGCAACAATTTTAAATAGTTCCGGTCATTAAATACAAAAAAATAGACTTT